CCTCCCGCGCCGGAGGCACACCTCTCCCTCCCTGGGGTCACGTCGAGGCTACAGTCCAGCCGAGGCGGCCCTTTCCCGGGGGGCCCGCCGGCATCCGGCTATCCGCATCGAGGCGAGGACGGCGGCGATCAGGGTCGGCGGGGAGCGCGTCTCCGGCGGCGCCTCCGGTAGCTCAGCCGAGCGGTCTTGCTTCGAGACGACCCGCTTTGTCGCCTTTTTCCTTCCTCCGCATCCAACAGTTCCCCCCTCCCCGCCCCCCGTGCAGCCTTTCGGCGCTAGGATTCCTCGGGAGTCAGGGCGGATCGGTCGCACCCGCCTCCCCTCCGACCGTGGATCCGGCTTTATAGTTTATCTCCCCTGTCTCGTCGCCTTCTTCGCGGAACCACCTGACATTCCGCCTCCCGCCGCCGAGTGGAAGGTCTCGGCTGGAGAAGCGCCCGGCTCCTCGTGGCTCTCCCTCTAATCTCCTGGCGACGCGTCCTCTCTTTTCTCTCTCTCTCCCTCTCTCTCCCTCTCTCCTTTTTGACCTGCCAAATCACGACATTGGGCCACTTTTCTACGGAAACTTTTATACAGAAGTTAAAACCACGTGGGAACGCCGACCTATAACAGACTAGGCGCCACGGGCTCTGCACTGTTGAGGAGATTAAGCATTTCGCCTCCAGGCTGCTGGAGCCACTTCCTGATGTGGAAATATTAACTCTGCGGTTCCTTTAACTACGCTCCCCCCCCCCAGAACTGCCCTTAAACACACAAACACACACACACACACCCCTACTCACACATGGACAAACACACGGTTCAAGACATTGGCAGCTGAAAGGAAGTGCCCCAACTAGGTTTGCCACACTGCAATCAAAATAACTGGCCATCATTCACTGGTGATGATTGGGATCCAGAGCAAGGCTCCCTCTAAGCTGTGGAGTCTTGTGAGCAATAATCCTACTTGGCGGGCTACTGGCGTTAAAGTTGTGAGCGCTGGTTTGGCTACTGCATAGATTAGTTTGCTCTGGAGCCCTCCTTCCAATCCTGAGCGAGGACAAAAATCTGTGAGCCAGAGGCTAAAAAACCTGTGAGCTGGCTCACACTCACTCAGCTTAGAGAAAACACTGATCCAGAGCTTTCTGGGTCAAAATTTAACTCAGCCGGAATTTACCTCAACGCCAGAGCGAGTTATCATCTGCCAGTCTTGCCAGATGTAATGTAGGCAACTGTTACTAGCCTACCTTGTAGGGCTGCTGTAGGGACTGCAGAGATAATGTGGAGTATACTACATATAATATGAAGGGCTGTTATCTGATTTCAGCATATTTGGAGAACCAGTTGAACATATCACAGACAGTTAATTTTTTCCCCCTTCTTGACACACCACACACACAGCCAAATCCCTTCTGCACAAATAGCAATGATATGGGTGCAGTTCCATCTAGAAGGAAGTCGGGAGGTATGTAGCACCGGGGGTGTGACAGTCGGCACGGTCTGAGTTCAGGCCACGGAGGCTCACTGTGTGGACTTTATGGGAGTCACTATGGCTCAGTGTCTGTTCTGTATGCCTAGGGATGAAAAGAAGATTGGAACACATTCTGCCAAGAGGCAGCACATTTGTTTAGAAACCTTGTGTGAACGGTAACATGTCTATCCTGGCCTGTACCTGTGGGGGGGGGGCATGTAGCCTGGGCCCAAAGCTCAATGGTGGTCTCACATTTAATGAAATCTACTTCGTTTCTACCTGGCCTTTCTCACCAATTGAAATCCAAAGTGGCTTACATTGTCCTCCTTTCCTCCGTCTTATCATCACAACCACTCCGACAGACTCAGGGCAGGGGAGTAGCCATGTTGGCCGGAAGCAGCATGCCACTGGATTCGGGCTTTGTTCAACCACCCTGAGAGTTAGGTTGGCGTAGTGGTTAAGTGCGTGGACTCTAATCTGGGAGAACTAGGTTTGATTCCCCACTCCTCCACTTGCACCTGCTGGATGACCTTGGGCAAGCCATAGTTCTGGCACAGCTGTCCTTGAAAAAGCAGTTTCTGTCAGAGCTCTCTCAGCCCCACCTATCTCACAGGGTGTCTGTTGTGGGGAGGGGAAGGGAAAGGAGTTTGTAAGCCACTCTGAGACTCCCTTGGGTAGTGAAGGGCGGGGGAGAAATCCAATCTCTTCTTCTTCATCATCTTCACAACCACCCTGAGATAGACTCAGGGCAGGGGAGCAGCCATGTTGGCCCAAAGCCACATGCCACTGGATTCGGGCTTTGTTCAACCACCCTGAGAGTTAGGTTAGACTCAGAGTGCATGACTGGCACAACGTCACCATGGCAGGATGAGGATTTGCACCTGGGTCTCCTAGATCCTAGGCTGACATTCTCACCACTACACTACACTACACTGGCTCTCATGGAGACACTTGTCAATTTTGTTGGCATTTGATAAGCTTCAGAATTTCTTTTTATGTGCATGGTGTGTTGCTTTTTATTGTGGATAGCTGGAGGTGGCCCAGGTATCTCTGGACTTCTGACAGGGCCACTACCCGTGCTGTCTGTCAGGACAGGATCTATACACAAATCTTTCTTTTTTAGCTGTGCAAAATACTTGAGCGAGAGGCAGGGATGCAGAGTGAATAGGGAGACTAGATTGTACTGAGCCACTGGCAGTGTTCCCTCTAAACTGGGTGAGTGTGAGCTAGCTCACAGTTTTTTAGCCTCCGGCTCACACATTTTTGTCTCAGCTCAGGAAGGAGGGCTCCAGAGCAAACTAATTTATACAGTAGCCAAATTGCTCACTCACAACTTTAATGCCAGGAACTTGCAAAGTAGAATTCTTGCTCACAAGACTCCACAGTTTAGAAGAAGAAGAAGAGGAGGAGGAGGAGGAGATTGGATTTATATCCCGCCCTTCAGTACCCAAAGGTGTTTTAGAGCAGCTTACAAACTCCTTTCCCTTCCCCTCCCCACAACAGACACCCTGTGAGGTGGGTGGGGCTGAGAGAACTCTGACACAAACTGCTCTTTCAGGAACAGCTGTGCCAGAGCTTGTGACTGACCCAAGGTCACATCAGCAGGTGCAAGTGGAGGAGTGGGGAATCAAACCCCGTTCTCCCAGATTAGAGTCCGCACACTTAACCACTACACCAAACTGGCTTAGAGGGAGCATTGCTGCAAGCCAGCCAAGTCACATGACTGGTTCTCCTGTGATGTTTGGGTTGGCTCTGGAGTCTAGGTGTGTGTGAAGAGGATCCTGGAGAAGTGTACAGAGAGCACTCTACCTGCTGGATAATCTTCTATAAGTGCAAGAGGGCAGGTTGGCCTAGTGCTACATCCACACCAACAATGGTGGTTAAGTGTGCGGACTCTAATCTGGGAGAAACGGGTTTGATTTCCCCCTCCTCCACTTGCACCTGCTGGATGACCTCGGGCAAGCCATAGTTCTGACAAGAGCTGTCCTTGAAAGGGCAGTTTCTGTCAGAGCTCTCTCAGCCCCATCTCCCTCACAGGGTGTCTGTTGTGGGGAGGGGAAGGGAAAGGAGTTTGTAAGCCGCTCTGAGATTCCAAGTGAAGGGTGGGGTATAAATCCAACCTCCTCCTTGTCTTCTTCGCCACTTCTTAAACATGACAGTGCTCCTGGACCCAAAAGAATGCCCTGGGAATTATTCTTTGTACCCCCAGGGCAGATTAAGGCTCACTGGTGCCCTAAGCACTGACCAGTCTTGGTGCCCCCCCTCCTTTCCACATGGACCCAGTCCATTTTAGTTGTCGACCTGTCTGACCAGATATACAATGCAGGTTGCAGCAATACAAACATGTATTCATATGATGACACAATAGGCTATACAAACGAAGCCAAGCTTGGGCTACATAAAGTTGCGGTGCTCCCCTTTGCCCCTGGTGCCCTACGCACTGCTTAGTCTGGTTAATGGTTCCTCCACCCCTGGTATCCCAGATACACTGAATAGTTTAGGCAGGGCCGGCTCACCCACTAGGTGAACTAGGCATTCGCCTAGAGCACCAGGCCCTGGATGGGGTGCTGAGCTGTGCCTTCCCCGCCCTCTTCTTTTTCTTCTTCCCTCGCCCACCGAGGAGGAGGCCAGGGGCCGCAGGGGCGGAGGAGCGGTCCCGCCGCGAGCTTGGCTGAAGAGAGGCACGCCTCCCTCCCTCCTCCCCCCCTTCAGTGGTAGTGGCGGCGGGGGGGGAGGTGGTGGCAGCAGCAACAAAACGGTGTCTGGCTCCAGTGGTCTCCAGGTTTCTAGGCCCCACCGGGAGGTTGGCATCTGCGCCACAAGGCAGCCTCGCCTAGGGCGCAGAAACACCTCGAGAGTTTAGGGAAGAAAACCAAGGAGAGGGTGGGCAATCAAGAGCAAGGCAAGAGGCCGGGAAGGGCCTTCCGGACCCTCAAGTCGCAGCCAAGCCGATCTGGGTTTCCAGGCTTCGACTGCAGGAGTCGCCTCTTGAACGATGCCCAGATGAGATC